CTGCTGAAGGACTTGGGTGTTCCTTTTCTTTTACTATCCTTATAGAAAAGAACAGCTGAGGGAGACTCAGATGCACGGAGCTTCCCCACATGTGATTTTAGTTGAGGTGAGCTACTTAGGCTTCTCCTGTCCAGCTCCATCAGCCTTGGAGGTCCATGATAGCTGGACTCTGATGAGGACCTTGAAGAGGAAACATTAACATCTACATGGACTTTACTTTCAGCTTTTTTCTTGAACTTTAGAGTGAGGAACCTCTTAAAGGAAGATTTCTTTTTCTTGGAATACTTATCAGGTGAATCATTCTCTATCAAAAGTGAAGGGGAACTTTTAGTAATTGGCTTTTTGGTGATGTAGGCAAGTTCAAAAGGAGGTGGTATATCCACAACTGAGGATGGAGGAGATATGCCACATGACGAAGGATGATTTCTCTGTGAAAAACTACCTGAGGAACCATTGACACAAGGCAACGACAAGTTGTCTTCTGTCCTTTTTATTCTACCATCGTCCAGTACACAGCCATCACTTTCTCTGTAAACAGAGACAGGTATCTCTCTCCCCTCAACAGAGTAAGATCGAGGATATAAAAGGAAACGTCTTGACTTCGTTGGTAATGCTCTGTTGGCTTCCACTGGTTTCCCTTCCACTGAAAAAAAGCTATTGCTTAAATCTGTCCCAGGGCCATTGTGGGAAGATGGCAAATCAGTTTCAGGTCCATTTTCTTCTGGAACTGTTTCTGGGACATAGCCTGGCATTTTCCCAGAGAGCGACCGTGTTCTAGTGACAATGCTTTTACGATCAATGGGCAGCAAGTTGTTTTCACCATCCGTGCCTAATTCGTCCCGTTTATTGTGATCAGCTCCTAAATCAGCCTGCCCATCATAAGCAATTTCATTTTCCGTGGGAAGCACATAAGGGTCATCTAGGGAATCACTGCTCGTTTCTTTTTCCTCTGATTCTTCAGGCACAATCACCACTTCAGGGACTGCTAGATTTTCATGCAAGACACGTCTGGCCCCACATTCTATGTTCATTTCGCCATGCTTACAGACTTCTAAGTCTTCCTCAAGTAGTATCAGTTGAGATGGACTTGGGACACTTTGGCTGAGGCTGTTTGCTTCCACCTCATTGTCTTCAAGTTGCAGCTTATCTGACTTAGAGGTTTCCACCATACATTCACCATGCTCTTCAACAGTCACATTTTCCAACTCTGGCCCCATCCCTGGATTAGTAGGTAGACTTTCAGAGATCACACCATCTTCAGCCAGTGAGGTCCCTTCTGTTTGAAGATTCTCCTCTGAATGTTCCATAGGTATTTCCTCATCACATTCATTTTCACACAGAGCAATTTGACAGCTATCATCCATACTCTCTGCATTCACAGTTTCTTCTTCTCCTTTCCCACAGTCTTTGCTTGCTTCACAGGCTACCTCTAATGTCTTCTCACCTCTCCTCTCAGTGATTTGGCAGCCAACACTGGCATTTCCTGTGTTTGTATTATTGTGCTCATTTGGGTCTGCTTCCTCCTCTTCAGCTACCGTTTGATGGATGGACTCTCCTAAACCACCCTCAGCACTGGGTTCATCTTTACATGGTTCTAAGCCAGGAGCAATTTCTTCATTGGCCTCATCTGGCAGCATGTTGGGGCTTGCACAGCCATCATTTTCTAACTCCCCTTCTGTGTTCAAATCAAGCTTTGCATGTGCACTGTGGTGGTCACCATCATGTGCTAGACACCCATCTCCCTTTTCTAAAATCTCCAGCAGTTCCTCCTCCTCCTGTCCTGCCTTCTCACAACTTGGGATTGATTGATCTGCAGGTAGTGGCATTACAGTGGTATCTTTATGCATATCACCCATTTGTTCCTCATGCCTACTTAAAATATTATCAGTGTCAGTCTTAAAATCACTGTTGTCCTTAACCAGTTCCAGGTTGTTAGAAGTTTCCTCCTTGTTTTTGGTTTCACTACAATTACCTTCATCTTCCTCTTCCTCATCTACATTTTTGGAAGCATCACTATCCCCAGCAGGGGCATTTGAGGGCTCCACACAAAGTGCTTCAGACTGGTCACAGTCTCTGGTTGACTCTTCAGAGTGTGGTTCCATTGGTTCAGCAATATCTGAAGAGTTATGGTTCTCATCTTCAGTGACTTCTCGATCACTGGTATCCTCATCGTTAGCAATGTTATTCTCTTCCTTCTCTGCCTCTTCTGGAGTTCCCAAGACTTCATTCTCCGGAGAGGAATCTAGGTTCTGATCACGCTCATGTTCCAAGTCATTACAGACTTTGCTGGTCAGCTGAGCTTCAGGAACTACAATGTATTCATTATCTGCCTCAGATTCTGGGCAATCAGCATTGCATTGGTTTCCTTCATACAGCTCTCCATCAAGACATACCAGGTTTGCATTTGAGCGTTTATTTAAGTTATTGTTGGTATAAACACCTGATTTGCCCTCAGTGTCAGCTGAGAATTTTGGCTTGGGAGCAATAGGTGGTTTGGGACCCCTCAACATAGAGTTTGGGTTATGAAGAATATCAGCCCTTGGCAGTGAAGGAGAAAATTTGGAGACAGTTACTGGAGAAAGATGACCAATAATCTTTGGTTTCGGTGCTAGTGGTGGCTTTGTGATTTCTGGAGAAAAGAGAGATAAGTCGTGTTAGTCATCTTAGTTTCTTATCAAAGCCAGCAGAATGTATCCTACAGTAGACTTTATATTATACCAGTGCCTTCTAAAGCCAAGGGTGTCCAACCAATAAAAGGTTCAGCTCTTAAGAGAGACTTGGCAGTGAAGCATACACACTGTGCTTCTGGGCAGCACTACGTGTAGCTATTCCAGGGAACGTGGCTTAAGGTCAAAACTGAACTGCTCTGAACTAGATGCAGCCTTAGCACATGTGGGGAAAGAAAGATGCATGGCTGCAGAGCCAAGAGCGTACCATACACAGTTACCCACAGATGGACAGTACCCCTGCACTCACAAGTACTAGCAACATCAGAGTCCTCTTGATTCTGCCCCAGAAATCTCTTTGCCCTAAGATGAATATGAACATTTTGATTCAGTGATGCTGAAGTGTTTCACTGCAATGAAAGAAATGCCTTTCAGCCATGGTAGCCGTTCCTATAACAAACTACAAACACATTGTAGCAATGATTTTAATTTCAACATGTAGTTTGCAGAATTCAGCATTGAACAAAATTAGTTCTACCAACAGATCAAGGTTTAACGAAGTGAATGCATGATGCCCAGACACACAGGCTTCCCATCTGCCTTTACCCTGGTAGCAAAATATGGAGTTACCTGTTGTTTTTCAGACAACATAATCCTGAGGTATAAGACGGTTTGCTTAAAAGTTTGGCTAATACTTTACACTGGTTATGCAGCTGTAATGCACTGAATGAAATACCTCAACCCAAAACATGGAGTTACTAGTTTAAGCTTTCAGTGTACAGCCTCTTCAATCCTTTCTGTAGTGAAAAGATCCTCCAACCTTGGAGGAACCTAGGATCCCTTGCAGGTACAATCTGCTCTGAAAATACACATTTAAAAAGTGAATCATCTTGTAAATTAAGGCCAGCCAGGGTCTCTAAATTATTTCTAGTGGAAGTGCTGATTCACGTGTAAGGGAATTCAAGCAGACTGACAATTAGCTAGATTGAAGCTAGATGTATTAAGTCATATATGGCCATCTTACTCACAGTGCAGTTTACATGCCACAGCCATTTCTAGCTGTCTTGGTCCTGAAATGAATATTCTTTAAATAACTAAATGAAATACTGAAAAGCCACATAAATAGGCAACAATAGGGATCTTCCCTCATGAGATTTTAGATGAGATAAATAGGTGGTGTAAAGAAGCCAGCACACCAAATGGTCACAGATGGTAAGAAGAGAAGCAGTTTGCTCTTACTAATGTTTCCTAGACATCAATAGGTGACTACATGGTCAGTCCATCAGCAATCTTTAATTCTTTTTATATTTTTAATTAACACATTCTAGTGGAAAAGGATGTGTTTCTTACTTTTCCATTGTAAGAAAAAGCACAGGACAAACTATTTCACCATGAGAGAGACAGGAACAATTCTTCGTGCAAAATCTTCATTCCCTACA